ATTTAGATGGATTAGATTTAGATGGATTAGAGAGAGAGAGAGAGAGATGATAGACAGATAGTTTTAGATGGATTAGAGAGAGAGAGATGGATTAGATAGAGAGAGAGGTAGAATAGGTATATAGGTAGGAGGTAGGTAGTTGATGGATTCTAGACACAAAGATACTAAGTAGACAGATGACAGATGATAGAGAAATATTTGGTAGGTGAAAGGGTAGGTAGGTGACCGAGAGGATAAAGTTTTCATGACAGAATATCATGGACAGACCGAGTTAGGAGCAGATCTTCATCCATGGCCACACAGTTGCTAGGCCTCTCTTCCTGCAATCTGGCATCTTCCTGTGTCCTTGCACGACTGTGTCTTTCATGACTGTCCCTGGTGTAGCCATCCCTCTGGTCCCCACCCTTTCCACCTCTTACAGTGACTTCTGCCTTGTCATTAGATGAGGGACCCATCAAGGACCACATTGTGTCCTTCTCGGTCATCTCCATCGAGTTCCTAATCTCGAACTACGTCACAGTAGTGGTTAATCCACAAATACGGGGTAGAGTCAATCCTCACCACCACGCAAATGTCCCTGCCCAGCCCAGGGGTCCCTCCGATGCCCTCTGTCCTAGTCCTTTCATTACCATAGCTGGTTCCCTTTTATGAAGTCACAGAACTCTGACCTCACTGTAATCAGGCCCCAAGAAGGTCGTCCATGCCCTCAGGTTCGTCCACTCCTGGTGTTTTCTTGCTCCCAGCAGACCTGGTCGTCAGAGCTGCTTTAGGGGAATGGGCAGAGATTTGTTTCAGAGACACTCACCTGGGAACCACGTGACGTCCAGTCCTCTTTGTCCTGGGAGGGACCTTCATCCCTGGGAGGAGGAGCATAGAAGGTGATGCTCCTACCTTATCTGAAGTGTCTGAGGCTCAAATACTGCATTACACTTCCTCTGCTCATTATTCCATCAGGGATTTCTCATCACTATGCTTATAGGGGCCCACGTCCTGCAGGAAAGAGATTTAAGCATGAGAGAGATTGAAGACGGACTTCCTGCCTGTCCCCACACCACCATTAAATCCCACAGTTGAGTGTGATGTGGCTCTGTAGAAGTTTGCTTGGCTAGCATTGTAGAATGTTGCGTGTCATCACCAAGATATCGTTAATGGAGACAGAGTGAAAGATGGTTATTTAGATCTGTAGGTAGATAGAAAGATAGATAATGAGCAGCTAGTGGATGATGTAGATTGAGATATATTAGGTAAATGGATGCATCGATAGATAGATAGATAGATAGGTAGATAGATAGATAGATAGATAGATAGATAGATAGATAGATAGATAGATAGATAGATAGATAGATAGATAGATAGATAGATAGATAGATAGATAGATAGATAGATAGATAGATAGATAGATAGATAGATAGATAGATAGATAGATAGATAGATAGATAGATAGATAGATAGATAGATAGATAGATAGATAGATAGATAGATAGATAGATAGATAGATAGATAGATAGATAGATAGATAGATAGATAGATAGATAGATAGATAGATAGATAGATAGATAGATAGATAGATAGATAGATAGATAGATAGA